GCTCAACATTAAAAAAACCAAGATCATGGCTACTGGTCCCATCACCTCCTGGCAAATAGAAGAGGAAGATACGGAGGCAGTGACAGATTTTACGTTCTTGGGCTCCATGATCACTGCAGATAGTGACAACAGCCACGAAATTAAGAGACGCCAGCTTCTTGGGAGGAAAGCGATGACAAACCTTGACAGCATCTTAAAAGGCAGAGACATCACCTTGCCAACTAAGGTTGGCATAGTCAAAGCTAAGGTTTTTCCAGTAGTGTTGTATGGTAGTGAGAGCTGGACCATAAAGAAGGCTGACCACCGAAGAATTGATGCTTTTGAGTTGTGGTGCTGGAGACCCTGGGCTGCAAAGAGATCAAACCTATCAATTCTGATGGAAATCAACCTTGAGTGCTCACTGGAATCACAAACCTGAAGCTGAGGCTCCAGTACTTTGGCCATCTTATGAGAAGACTCCCTGGAAAAGACCCTGATGTTGGGAAAGTGTGAAAGCAAGCAAAGGGAACGACAGAGGCCGAGATGGTTGGACAGTGTCATCGAAGCTGCCAACATGAATCTGACCAAACTCCAGGAGGCAGTGGATGACAGGCGGGCCTGGCGTGCTCTGGTCCACGGGGTCACAAAGAGTCGGACACGACTTAACGACTAAACAACAACATGGAAAACATATGCTGTAGAGTTGATCTTTACAAACAGCACTTCTTGAGTCTTGAGTAGAGTGGTTAACAGTGGTTAAGGCTACAGTTATTCAGTATAAAAAATGTCAGTTCAGTGATCTTGAATACAGTATTAACCTTTGAAAGCTGAGGAGCAGGAGTAAAGGCAAAGGTCTGTGTTGTTTGCAGACACAATTACATTCACATGAGACAACAAACGGAAAACCTGGCATATCATGTAGTGAAAGCATTTATAAAAAAACCATGGGGCTTCCTTCTGAAATTCTTACTGTATTATCTAAAATCAGCTGCTCCCCTTCTCTGGTTTATTCCATCGCAGTAACCTAAGACACCCCCTCCAAAAAAAGAGAACAAACTTTGAATTCTTTCTCTGGTCTGCTGAGAGGTAACAAATGAGAGGTCCGTAGTTCATGACTAACAAACAACAGAATAATACATGGATTGCTTCACTGTAAGCAAAAATGTGTTAATCACCAGGTTGCTAATTCATGATAAATCAAGGCTCCTCAGATCTCCTACTTGTTCTCATGTCATACAAACATTCCCATTGTGGAAGAGAATTCTTGGGACTTTTCCAACACTGTGGAATTTGCAGGCCCTTATTGTCCACAAATTGCCTTGAGGGAAGCAATTTTTGTTTTTATGTATACACCATAATATTAATAAAGCCTTGTACCAGGCTTTCTGAATATTTCATCTCATGAACAGCAAAATGCAGTTTCTAAATAAATATTGAGCTTCTTCAGAATCAGCTGTCTTCAGTAAAAGTTAGTTGCTGTTGAAATGGATATAGAACAAATATTATGGAGCATGTAATCAAGGCAACTGTCTTCCCACTTCTTGTTCTCTTTATTAATACACCAAAACAGACCAGTATGTCAAGATATTTAATCTGAAAGTGCGACAAAAGCCAAATTTCATACAGATCACTTTTTGTGTGTAGGCATCCTTCAGTCTTGAGAGACTATGGTAACGTGCTCTGAATAGAGGTCTTGGAACAACGTCTGGTGTGGCTGAGAAGGGCAATTTGAGAGTGACAATCCCTTCCACACTGAAGACAAATACAATCTGTCCACTGTCCAGCTCCCTGATTTTGCTGGTTTTGGAACTGCCTCTTTGTCTCGGCCTGCTGAACAAGTGTGTTTTCAAATTGGGAGAGGCCATGCTGCAGATCACTTTATGTTGAAGATAATTGGAAAGCTTATTTGGCTTTACAAACAATGGTCTAAGAAAGAGTTAATATTTCCCTAGAATCTTTTGCTTTTATTCAGTAGCTCCCTAGCTTTATATTTGTTCATAGTTCTAATAGAAAACAAGTTTTTTCATTTGCTGCTTTCTCATTCTTACCATGTTGTGCTGTTTTATTCCCCATACCATTTTCTTTTGCCTTTTTAAATACTTGGACCTTTCTATTAACCTACTCCAGCCTGAGGGTTGTAGTCTGAACATCTGAAGCCCTGTCAACTAGCATAGCCATTAGTTAGGTATCGTGGGGATTAAAGGTTATCAAAATTTATGGAGACACAGGTTGGGGAATGTTGCTTAGCATGATCATATTGTCATAGATTAGGCAATGTATATCTCTCCAAAGGATCATCTTTACAGAAGAATAAAATGAGTAATATCTGTACTTTTTGTAGCTCAAATTGTATTGGGTACAATTTGCATGTTAAAAGTGCATGTAAAGTATGTGTGGGGAATCTTTGGGTCTCTAAATCTTTTTAAAATTTCAGTATTATTATTTCAATTCCCATATGACCCTGCCAGCATTAGCGATGGCAGTAGAATTTTTTTGTTAAAAAGTTATCTTAGGGATGGTTTGTGATTATACAATTAAGGGGAATATCTATTGCTCTTAGTAGAGCACATGTTTTGCAAATTCCTATCATCTTCAGAAAGGTCTGGGAAAGATTATGATGTGAAACTCTGAGGAGCCATTGCCAGTCAGAGGACGAACAGTGAGCTGGATAATCCAACTTTCTGACTTGCTAGAAGGCAATTTCCTATGTTCTGCTTAGAACAGAGGTGGGAGACTTGTGCTCTTCCAGTGTTATTGCTGTAGCCCCAGTCAGTGGTGATGTAGCTAGAGATAATCAGAATTGTCATCCAGCAAGAACTGGAGAACCACAGTTTGGCCACCTAGCCTTAGACACCTGCCTTGGTATGCACATAAGCCAGAAAGCCAGAGTGATCCTAACCCCCTGTGTGTATTCATGTTTGTTATATAAATGGTGTAGTTGTGCGTCCCGTGCATATATTACTATTCATATGAAAAAATAGGGGGAAAAACACAATGCTTGTGATTTGGCTTGCAAAACAGGAAGGCAAAGGGAAATCTGAGCACTACTGTGTAAGATGGAGAGAGTATTCCTCAATTAAAATAGTTGAGGGGGGAACCCCCTTCATATTTGTAATCTTTTCAAAACAAATAACTTAGCCTGTTCCTCACATCTATGCAAGGGTATGTAATAAAACAATTGGCTTCAGCAGAAAATCTCTCCCACAGTCCTAACAATAGATGCATTTTCTAAAAATATTTACGAATATGAAACCACAGGAAAGACCTTTGTTTTCATGCTGCTAGCTATACATAGACAGGCAGCAGGAATCTCATCAGGCATTCCACAACTTGGGAAACTGAAATTTTAACACCGCAAGTTGTGGGGTCACACCATCATCACCATCCTCCTTTGATTTGAATATCAACCTTCTCTATAGAAGCCTAGGGCACCTAACAGCCTTCAGAAAGACACAGATAGAAATCAGCATACAGTGGTGCCCCGCATAACGAGCGATTTGTTTAACGATGAATCCGCTTAGCGATGTGTTTTTTGCGATCCTTTTTGTGATCGCATAGCGATGTTTCTAATGGGAAAACATCGCTTTGCGATGATTGGTAAGCATTTTGCAGCTGATCAGCGGTTCCAAAATGGCTGCCGGATAATTAAAATGGCCGCCCACAGCATTTTCGCGCTCTTTCCTCACTTACTGGGCAGCGAAAATGGCGGCCGCATGGAGGATTTCCGCATAGCGGTGAGTTTACAGCCTATAGGAACACATTAAACGTGTTTTAATGAGTTCCTGTGGGCTTTTTTGCCCCGCATAGCGACAAATCCACATAGCGACAATTTTTGGGAATGAATTATCGTCGCTATGTGGGGAACCACTGTATTATAAAATATATGGACTTGCAGGTATTAAAAATCACAAATTACATATCTCTGATAAAATGCAGTAAAGCAGGGGCTAGGGGAACTTTTTTACTTTTTACCCCCAAAAAACATTTATATAAGCCAACTTTACCCCCTTGATTTTTCTCCATATATTTAAACAAGTTTGATGAAGCTACCCCTTTTCCCACCTTAATTCAAGCCTTGCCTGTTCCTTTTTTCATAGTTTTGAGTCTCTCTCTCTCTCTCTCTCTCTCTCTCACACACACACACACACACCCTTCCTCCCTCCCTCCATTTTCTCCATACCTTTTCCACATATATTTAAATAAGCTTGATGAAGCCCTCGGTCTCTCGCACCTTCCTTCCCTCCTTCCCTCGTTAACTTGATCCTTTCCCACCTCCTGCTTGCTTGCAGTGATCTCCTGTGGTTGACTGCCCGGGCTATTCCACAGCTGTAACCAATCAAGCAGGCTTATCTCCGATCTCTGAAATAATGGATTTACAAGTGCCCTGCTGCAACCAAGGAAGTAACAGGGAGAGTTGGCTTACAATTTGAGGTTTGGCTGCAGGGAGTAGGGGTGGGAGGGGGTAGCACTCTGCTCATTACCCCCAGGATTTTCACTTTTACCCCTGTTCCCAGACCACTGCAGTAAAGCCATAATATGAATGAATAGCAAGCGATGTTCTTTGTAATTTTTGGCCCCACTGCACAGGAGTCTCACCCTGTGTGCACGCGTGGGGAGGGGTGCAAGCCAAAACTGGAACTAAACTACTGTAGTGCCAACTCCGGCTGCTGGTGTGGGAATGTTAGCAGCAGTGATTTACACAAAAATATGATTGTCAGTATTCTGAAAGTTCTTGTAAATAAATACATTTGTTCTGGTGTCTGTATGAGAAGTATGTGGTGGTAAACCAACTTCTGCTGAAAAGGAATTTCATCTTTAACTTACCATAAAAAAGGTAGTTTATTACTTTTTTGTAAAAATAAAATATATTGAGTTTAGTTGAGTTTAGATCCTTGAATTTTGAAGAGTGTTTTGATTGACGTTAAGCTCAGGTTGAGAGTTAAACATGCATTAAGGAAAAAGAAAAAGCTTGATGCGTATGGATTCATTGATAATTTGTCTCTCTTCTCTTTCATATCTAGCTGACTGTAATGCCGTTTTTAAAAGTCTACAGCCCATCTTCCAAAAGCAGGGAATGACAGAGACATTCTGTCACAATTGGGAAGACCATGGTTACCTAGCAACATACGTTAATAAAAATGGCAGGTAAGTTGAGTTTAGATCCTTGAATTTTGAAGAGTGTTTCGATTGATGTTGGCGAGAACCAGGTAAAAGTTTGTATATTCAGTCCCTTCAGATAAATGAAAAGGACATTTACCACCAGCACCTCAGTTATAATAAGTTAATTTAAAGTTCCTGCAGCATCGAAAGCTGGTAATCTTGGGAACAGCAGGTAGTCCTGCTGAAGGCCACTGAGATGAAGTGCTATAAATTCTAGACTACTCTCATTAAATTGCTAATAGAAATGCAGACTGCAAAGACATATGTGGAGGCTAGGCATGGGTGTTATAATTATCAAAATATAATTATTTCAGTGTATAAATTAAATTATAAATTAACTGGACTTTTTGAGGCATAGCTTGAATGTATCAATGTGATATTCTTCTAAATGACAGCTGCTTGGCAGTGTCAAGAAAACACTGCTTGAGGAGATTTGCACTGGCTAGGAGTAGTATAGGTAGAGTGATCAATTTGATAATCTCCCACTTAGACTACTCTAGTGCTGTGTGCATGGGGCTGTTCTTGAAGATGGTAAGGAAATTACAGTTCATTCAAAATGTAGGTACTGGGCTTGTAATTGTGCGGGGTGTTCTGAGAAGACAGTTTGCTGGTTTTGAAAGCATGTTGCTGAGCTCTGGAAAATAGTATCTCTAAAACTCTGCATTATTAGGGATGCCTATGTTTCAAGGAATGCCTGTTTTCATGTCAGCTTGCCTAAAGGTTTAGATCTTTTTCACAGCTGTCCCTGCAGGTACTGTTCCATGGGCGACAAACTTGTTAACAATAGACACAGGATATTCGTATTTGTCTCCAATTAAAGGGAGGGGTTTCTGAGTTCTGGTGGAAGTTAAATATATAAGTATAAACACTTCTGAATTGGACTTTGTGGAATAAAATTAAATATAAAACTTCTAGTTTAACCTTAGGTGAAGGATTTGGTTGGGTTTTTTTTAGCAAGGACTGTAGAATCTAGAGTAATTGTACATAGACTTGCAGCCTTGAGTATTAATAGTACACATGACAATATTGAAACAATAGTCATCGAAGTCAAAGCGTAGGAATAATCCCAATATGGGAGCCAGTATGGTAGAAAACTTAAGCTTGCTTCCCAACTATCTCTAGTTGAGAATAGGAAATGTGCATATATGATGCAAAGAAAATGAAATTTAATAGGAATTTTTGTTGTATAACTTAAGAACAAAAGGAAATGGTCATGAAGTTCTGCTATAGGCAGCTGACATTTATGCTTGTTTACTTTCAGGTTTCGGATGAAACCTCATTCCTGTGCCACACGCAGGGCAAGGCTCCTGCACAACGGGGAAAAAATTTAGAGGGAATGTTGCCTAGGAATAAATCCCATAGAGCACAATAGGATTTACACTTGAGTAAGCAAATATGGGGTTACCGTACAGTACTTTTTTAGCTTTGTTACAGTCTTTCAACATCATCAATCCTTCTAATAACATAAACACCGTAGTATTGAAATACAGCATTGACCATAGGGCAGTTTCTCTGATTATAGCAGGATCTAGTGCAACTGGGGGGGATGAGAAAATAACTGCAGCCACCAATAAGATGTTGGATTTAGCCCACCATTTGCAAATTTATTGCAACCTCTTATTTTTTTATTTCCAAGTTAATTGCAGCCATGATTTGACTTCCTGCTAGATATAGCTGGGTTTTCATAAGGTAAACAACACTGGCTGGTTACTATTTTTCTTTTGTTCCAAATGCAAAAACAGAGAAAGTGCTCATCTAGAAAGATGACTTGATGCTTTAATATTTTGGTCTCTTTGTTTTAGATTGTTCTTTTAAGTAATTAATTCAGCAGCAATCTTTCCATCAGGCTGTAGGGCAAAGTGAGGGAAGGGAACCAGAGCTAGTCCATTGCTTCTACCAAGAGACCCTCTGCCTTAGGGACTCTCTCAGCTTTCACATAGTCACATCTGTTACATCAAGTCTTGAACTGTTTACCCTATTGAAGGCAATCCTAAAATGGCATTGTAATATGTGCCAGTGGCACTTAAGTGTATTATGCATAGCGTGTAGCATTGAACCTACTTGGCTTCACCTAGATTAGAAATCCATTTGTTCCATTCTGCCCACCCCGATGCTCTTTTCTCTTTTCTTCCTCGTACAAACTGGTCTTCATGCTGATTTCCTCCCACCTTGCATCCCAGCTCTTGCTCACTTTTGATACCATAGTACAGTGGTGCCTCGCTTAACGATTATCTCATTAAACGACGAATCTGCTTTATGATGAGGTTTTTGCGATCGCAAAACGATGTTTAGATAGGGAAATTTCGCTTCATGATGATTGGTTCCCTGCTTCAGGAACTGATTTTTTGCTAGACGATGATTCTAAAACAGCTGATTGGTGGCTCTAAAATGGTCGCCCACTGTGCAAAATGGCTCCCCGCTGTGCTTTAGGACGGATTCCTCACTTTACAGGCACCGAAAATGGCCACCCCTATGGAGGATCTTCGCTGGACGCTGAGGTATTTAGCCCATTGGAACACATTGAACTGGTTTTCAATGCATTTCAATTGACTTTTTCGTTTTGCTTGTTGAGGATTTCGCTTAACAGCGATTTCAACGGAATGAATTATCCTCGTCAAGCGAGGCACCACTGTACTCATTTCTACTTGCATGGAGCTGGAACTCCATTTTTCAAGATTGGGGATACTGATTTCACTGCTACTGCTTTGGAACAGTTTAAGCAGTGTATATTGCTTGCATGATTTATGTGTACTTAGCATATTGACACCTATACCAATTTGTCTGAAATACTGATGCCAGTACATAATTTTATGTGAAAAAAATGAGAGTTGGTAACACCCTAGTGGACAACAGTGTGTCTAAGGTTGTAGCCAGACAGAAGTGACCTCACTCTTGTACAAGAATCCACGAAATGCTTATGATCAGGCACTAATAGGAAGTAATTTCAGTAGTTCCAGTGGGAGCTTTGTGATCCTATTTCAAGGCATAACCAATCCAATTATTTAAATTAGTAGTGTTTATGCATATTTTATTTCTAACTGTTGCTGTTTTGGGGATGGATGAACAATCACACTTTCAAAAATACTGATAACTACTGTGTTCACGGAAAGGATCAGGTGGTAGCATTTTATCTCACAGGCTTTATGTGTGAATTGTGCCTCTTTACAGAAGGGTTCAGCAAATGCTCATGATCAAGCACAGAAAGTCGGTTGGGCCAATTGGGGAAAATAATTTCAAGCTATAATCAATCTACGTACTTGCTAAAGCTGAGAGATCAGTAGTGTTCCTGCAAAAGGCCCAGGTTTCTAGCTCTTCCCATTTTTGAGATATTTTGGGACAAATAAACAGTCTTTCTAAAATACTTTTAAGATTAGCAACTTCCCCTTTTTCTTTCAGTTTGTAAACACTGGGCTGGATTTAGAATAAGCTAGTTGAACATAATTCCCATTTATGTAATGTGGACCAAGTACAGCTTAATGGGTCTTAGTCTCTGAGTTAACGTATATTGGACCGCACTTCCAGTCTGTGTATTGTAATTATAAATTTGTGTGGAAAAGAGTTCAGTAATATTTTCAGTTTGTAACAGTTCTTTGTGTAAATTTTAAAGAAAAACTAATTTTTTTTTAATTAGATCCTGACTTTGATTTAGACTACACTGCTAATATCATTGGGACTTCTTAATTATGCTAATTTATGTCCCATTGATTTCACTGTATGTGCTGTGGAGTATTATAGGGGAGGATTTCGATGACATTTCAAATTTTCTCTGAACTTGCATTTGAACGCATAAGCAAGTTCAAACATGTTCATGAGTAATCTGGCCTAGCCATAAGCTCAAATCTAGGTTGCAGAAAAAAATATGACATGATAGAAATCCTCTTCCTAACTTAATACATCTGGATCAACTTAGTATCTTTCTGGATAAAATTTATTAAAAGTGTTGTTACAAGAATGTGTTGGGCTTTTTTAAACTCAAAGTGCTATAAGCCCCATCAAGCTCTTTTTTTTTTAACACTTCAGATATTATTACAGTTTAATGATATGAGTGGAAGGGAAAAAGAAGCAAACATTTTGAAGCTGATTGATCTGGCAGTGGGTAAGGGAAGAGTAGGCCTGAAATGAACAAAAGACAGCCTTGTTGGTGGTTGTTTCCATGAAGGAGCTGAATTCTCAGTGAATATAGACGGTGGTTAGGATATAGAGACAGTGGAGGCATTCTTTTTGTTTGGCACTTTCTCCTTGATCCTGATCTGGCTTTGTCATGGTATGATGTTGATGCAAGGTCTAAGTTGATCCTGTTCCAAAAATGTTTTCTTCTTCCTGTCCAGTTTTGCCAATCTGAGAATTTATCCCCATGGGTTGGTGTTGGTTGATGTACAAAACTACAGTGATTTGAATGGAAGAGAAGAAACAGAACAGGTAGGCATAATGATTAATGTATAATAGTGCAGCAATTCTTTTCGATGCATGTTTTACTGGACTGAAATGTTCCTTTAGCTTTTCCTGTAAAGTTCAGAGACCGCGCCGTGTTTCCTCTAACATGAAGATTCAGAGGTGTGAGAAAACTTAAGTTTAAATGGCATTGCACTGAGCCTGCCGTAGTTTCTCACTGTGTGTGTAAGCCTCAGCTTACACATTTCTCTCTTTTCAGCACTGCAGAAAAAAAGTTAAAAGAATCTGCTTTGACTTCAATTTAATCACAATTCCCCTGTGATGTCCACAGTCACGGATTTGCTTGTATTATGGCTAGTGAGAAGAAGTCAAGCTCAAAGGGGCAGTTTTGGATCTTGGCTTATTTTGAAATGGAAGTGCAAACTGGCTTTCGAGGTTTCTAGTGCCCTGGCTGCCCTGCCCTGGCCTGCCTCCTTCAGGTGCTGTCTCTGAGTGGCCGCCTGCCAAAAAAGGGAAGCCTGGGAAGTGCGGCAAACTGTTGAACCAGCGGTTCTTGCCCATCTCTAATTATAAACAAACAAAATGGTGGAGAACCTCTCCAGTTCTCTGGGTTTACATACCTCTTTAGGCATGTTTTGGGAGGCAGATGAATGTTCTCCTGACGAGCCCCTTGCATGGTTCATCTAAGAAAACATGAAATTCCATGCTTCTTATACCTCAAGAAGCAATTCTAGAATGATGAAAGCTTAAATCATGAGCTTCTTTACAGTTAAGGTGGGCAAACCTCTCTGTTATCCTTCTACTAACAAACTACAAATAAGTTGAAGCAGTATCTAAATACAGTATCAGTATATGTTTGCTGAAAACATTTATTTTCCCAACTCAGATAGACATCTAAGAAAGCAAAGTGTTATTTTTTTCATCCTTCCTTCAGGGCTGCATCAGTGTCTATGTTTAATAGAGTAATTCATTCATAGATTTATAATACTAGGCATTGTGCATTATGGAAGTAAGAAAGACAAGTTGACTGAATAAAATAAGTGTAATTGAAATCGATGTGCTTCAGTGTGATGACATTTTTAGCCTCACTTGGGCTTGCCGTGTTGCCAGCCATGTTTTACCCTACTGCATTGTTTGTTTGTATTATTATGTTTTGTTTTCTTTCAGCTTTTAAACAAGGTAGAAGAAAGAATGAAAGAACTGTTTCACGGAAATATCAAAAGGGTAAAAAGGTGAGAATTTTTGTAAATCTGGACAACTTTTAAATGTGACTGACGATAAAGTTTGCTCTGAAGACATAACTGGAAACTTCAGCATGTAATTCCTGCAATGTGTAATAACTGAACAATGGCAAATGGTCACATATGCTTTACAGATTTCTACAACCTTTTATCCAAACATTTTTATCTTTTCTACATTTTGTTGTACTTAAATTTCATTTGGTTTATGCTGATGCTTAATAATCCTGTGGTAATGTAATTTCATTTACTAAATTTCTTTGGTGGTGGCAGTGCTACTGAGGATGACGATCACAGCAAAGCCTTATGAATTCTTTTCATGCCCACTGGGGCACTAAATTTATTAAAAATAATCTTTAAAAAAAAAAAGAAAGCAATTTTGAAAGAAAGTTTTCAAAATGAAAGCCTATACAAAATAGTAGGGTGTTTACCACATGTGAGATGGTCAAGAAGGATGGGACTAGTTTGATTTCCCTTGGAAGGGTGTTCCACAATTGAGGGGCTACTACTGAGACACAGAAAGCTCATTCTCAGCATCCTAATTTAATTCCTGCAATGTGTAATAACTGAACAATGGCAAATGGTCACATATGCTTTACAGATTTCTATAACCTTTTACCCAAACATTTTTATCTTTCCTACATTTTGTTGTACTTAAGTTTCATTTGGTTTATGCTGATCCTTAATAATCCTGTGGTAATTTAATTTCATTTACTAAATTTCTTTGGTGGTGGCAGTGCTACTGAGGATGACGATCACAGCAACGCCTTATGAATTCTTTTCATGCCCACTGGGGCACTAAATTTATTAAAAATAATCTTTAAAAAAAAAAAGAAAGCAATTTTGAAAGAAAGTTTTCAAAATGAAAGCCTATACAAAATAGTAGGGTGTTTACCACATGTGAGATGGTCAAGAAGGATGGCACTAGTTTGATTTCCCTTGGAAGGGTGTTCCACAATTGAGGGGCTGCTACTGAGACACAGAAAGCTCGTTCTCAGGTACTCATCAACATAGCCTGTTGAAGTTAATGCGTTTCAATGGGCTGTTCTTGCCCCGTTCAACGATACTTTCACACAGCAAGGGTTAATCCGGAACGGATTAACCTCGCTGTGCGAGGCACCACTGTACTCATCAACATAGCCTGTTGAAGCGGTAGGACATGCAACAGAATCTGTGTGGAAGGTCTCAGAATTCCCGGTAGGCTTATATGTGAGGAGGCAGTCTTTCAGATATCTTGGTCCTGCACTGTTTAGGCTTTGTACATAAACACTAGAATCTCAGATTGAGTTTAGAGATAGATTGGAAGTCAATGCAGTTGGTTTAGGATCAATGACATATAGTCTCTAGAATGTAAACAAGATAACATTCTAGCCGCTGAACATTTTTCAAGGGGAGTCCCTTGAAAGTTGCAAATTAAGTTGCAGTTTTTGGAGGCCAACAGTTTTTTCATGCCTTATTTTCTTCCCCCTTTTTGCAAAGTAAAAGTATAGGGGCATGGTTAGGCAGAGAGGTTCAGTAGGACTGGCCTAGAACACTTTAGTCGTCATTCTTATGCATGCTGGTGAGTGTGAGAAATTAGCAAAAAAAACAACAACACCAAATTAGAAAATCTTCCTTGCTTTTTGAGTATTCTGAAAGGAACTATAGTGGGGTCCATTATAGTATCTCAGCTTTTTCTAGACCATGCCAACGGGAAGGAATTGACAGTTCTCTTGCAGTGCAGACCCTGTTATGGTGAGGGAGCAGGTGGTTCGTTAGTCCAGCCTTTCCAGTAGGTATAGATCTACCCTAAATGATTTGGAGAATTGTATGACTCCATTCCCAGCCCACTTGGACTTTAAAATCGTTGAGCGAGGTCTTTTTCTTGGCCCCACCGCCCTCATGCTTGGGGTGGACACAGGAGAGGGCCCTTACGGCAGGTGCTCCCAGGCTCAGGAACCCCCACAGGATATCAGGCTGACCATTTTCCTTCAGTCCTTCTGCCAAGAGGCAAAGCCCTTCCTTTTTCAGGCAGACTTTTAATAAGTTAACTACTGCTGAGGAAATGGTTTTAAGGGAATAATTCTTTTCTCTTTTTAAAATATGATTTTTAACTTGTTTTATTTTGAATTTAGCTCATTATAATAATTAATGGCCGAGACCTTGTTGCTTAGCATTGTAAGTTGCACTAAAGTAGGCTTGCTGAGCCACTGGAGTTCCGTTTGCTTCAAAGTGGCCTACTCTAATTGCTGCTTACCATGCTAAAGAAAGTTGCAGCTAGAGTAGACTAATTTGAATCAATGGAATTTAACAGAAAAATTAACTCACCAAATACCCATGAATTCAGTGAGTATACTATAGTGCAGTTTACTATACTAAGCAACAGGATTTGTTGCTTAGTACAGTGGTGCCCCGCATAGCGATGTTAATCCGTTCCGGATTAATCGTCGCTCTGCAAAAACATCGCTAAACGGATCAAAAAACCCCATAAGAACGCATTAAACTTCGTTTAATACGTTCCTATGGGGCCCCAAACTCACCGTTCAGCAAAGTTCCTCCATAGCGCCGCCATTTTCACGCCCTCGGTAAGTGAGGGCAGGGCGCGAAAACACTTGTGGTGGCCATTTTGGGCATCCGGTGGCCATTTTGGAACCGCCGATCAGCTGTTTAAAAAAACATCGCAATGTGGAGATCGGTAAGCAAAACGCTTACCGATCATTGCAATGCGATGTTTTGCCATTGAAAACATCGCAATGCGTTTGCACTAGTGATCTGAAAAAACAGATTGCTATGCGGATTCGTCATTAAACGGTGCGCTCGTTAAGCGAGGCACCACTGTATTGTAAAATGAATATTGAATTCATTTTAAATAAAGTGATTTTTTAAAAATTTATTGTTGTTGTTTAGTCATTACGTTATGTCCGGCTCTTCGTGACCCCATGGACTAGAGCACGCCAGGCACTCCTGTCTTCCACTTGGATGTTGCAATTTTTATTTAGTTGATAACTGCAAACTGATATTTGTAATCAAATAATTAGGGCCTGGGTTTTGCTTCTGTCATGTACTGCCCTCTAGTGTTCATTAAAATGTTTCATAAAGACAAAGAGTTCAGAACTGTGAAAAATCGTAGCTAACTTTAGGAGAGCAGGGTCACCAGCTTAAATTTTTTTAGAAACTTTCTATCTTCACAAGGCACACAGTGAATTATGTAAAAGCATTAAAAAGACGCACATATATCCACTATTCTGTAGCAGCCTATTTGACACTTAATTTATATCTAAGCAATGAGAAAGTTTACATATCAGCCTAGGAATTCAATTTGAGTAGTAATTTGAGATAAATATTTTTTAAAATAAATTTTTATTTTTTATTTTCCTTGACATAGCAGATACTCTGCTCTTGCTTTGTGCCAAATTGTTCCCCCTTTCAGAAATAAGCAACTCTGAAGCATAAACAGAGATAAAATAAGGCATGAGGATTCAGAATGGAGAAAATTATGTTTTCTAACACTTTATCATATGTAGAATGGAAAGAAGTTTAGAGTTTAAGAAAAGTTGGAAGACTCTGAAACTGAGTAAATCCATCATTCTTAAAAGTTCTGGGTCTGAAACCTAAGCAGTGAGTTGAGCAGTCTCTTCTGCAGCCATACAGATAACTACTGTATGTACTGTATCAGTCCACTATTCTATCTACCTTGTAACCATGTATATAATTGTGACCAAATTTTCCAATGGTCTTTTTTCTTTTTTGCATCTAGCCAGTCTGATAGTATGTCCATTTCTGCGCTTTCAAGGATTTTATCTTTCACTTCATCTATTTGCAGTGTTGTAGGTTCTTTCCAGTGTTTAGCAAAAACTATTCTTGCTGCTGTTATAATATGAATAGTTAATTTTTTCAGAGTCTAGTAAAACTATTAGATATTTAATAGGAATAGTTCTGGTACCATTGGTATTGAAGTTTCTAATACAGTGGTGCCTTGCATTACGAGTGCTCCGTTTTACGACGAAATCGCTTTACGTTGAAGGTTTTGCGATTGCAAAAGCGATCGCAAAATGATGTTTCCTATGGTGGAATTTCACTTTGCGATGATCGGTTCCCTGCTTCGGGAACCGATTCTCACAAAGCGATGATTTTCGGCCAGCTGATCGGCGGTTTCAAAATGGCCGCCGGGTAAAAAACATGGCTCCCCGCTGTTTTCTGGGATGGATTCCTCGCTGCACAGACAGCAAAAATGGCCGCGCTATGAAGGATCTTTGCTGGACGGTGAGTTTCAAGCCCCTAGGAATACATTAATCGGGCTTTAATGTGTTTCTATGGGCTTTTTAATTTTGCATTACAACGTTTTCGTTCAGCGATTTCGCTGGAATGAATTAATGTAATACGAGGCACCACTGTATCTCTTGTAGCATCTGATTCACTTTACTCCAGTATTTTTGGGCGTCTGAGCACATCCACCACCTGTGATAAAATGTTCCTTCTTTCTGTTTTTGTTTCCAACATATATTTGAAATCTGGGTGCTTGTTTTAGCCAGTGTTGTGGGGGTCAGTGTTGTGGGGATTTTTAAAATATTTTTAACACAGTCAGATAACCCAACAAGAGACTGCTTGGAATTTTGCTACATCAGAAAATAGTATTGTGAGTTCTTCATATCATTGTCTTGTAGCTTGAAAACTTACCGTAACTCAGAAACAGTCTTTTTTGGTTTGCTTTTGCACCTGATAAAAGGTTGCCTTAATATTGTCAACATTGAAAAACTTAAAATGTGATGACTATTAGGGCTACACATCTCTAAGAAGTTATATTTTAAAGAAATTTTAAGGAATTATCTCTATGTGAAACTTAGATAAATTTAAAACTGTGATTTATTTTGCTTTGATTCTTTTCCTCCCGTAGGTTACCAGGCATTGTGAGAGGAGATGCCATTGATAGATACTGGCCTACAGCAGATGGACGATTGGTGGAATATGACATAGATGAAGTTGTCTATGATGAAGAATCAGCTTACCAGAATATTAAAATATTACACTCAAAACAATTTGGAAATATTCTTATCCTCAGTGGGGATGTTAGTGAGTGTTGCAGTCCTTATAAAATGTGTTGTTGGTTGCCTGAGAGTCGGTCAGCACATGTTGCATTGCTCTGAAGCAAGCACAAGCCATCTTCTCAAGTTATGATTCTGGCACACGAGGAGAGGAACAAGCCAGGTGTCTGGTTTTGCCTGCATTGTTCAAACAGAGGCAGAAGCTCCCTGTTATGATTGGCTACTTCTGCTGTCAGGAAGAGCCAAGCAGGAATCCTCAGGCAGGATGAACTAGTAGACTTGCCTTTTTCCACAGTAAGCCAGAAAACGCAACCATTGTGCTGTACTCTGTTGTCTGAATCAGGCATAATAGCCTGAATAAACTGATCCATTGTGTTCATACCTGTCAGAGGAGAATAATGGTGAATCTATTATTAGGTGTTTGCTGTCCCTTTCATATTTCTAGATTATAAATGTATAAATATAAAATAGTAATTTTTATTGTTGTAAATTTATAACAACATTTCAGGGTGTTTCTTTTTTTATCCAATTAAATGACGTAAAATGTCATTAAGTCTGTATTGATTACACTGTCATCATCTAAAATTTCTGGTTCAGAGCCCTATTTTTTAAAATTGATATTAGCGAAGGGTGTTTCTTATCATACTAAGTGCATACTGATATATGTGTATATATTTTAAAAATGTATTTTTTTAGATTTGGCAGAGAGTGATTTGGCATATACTCAAGCTATAATGGGCAGTGGGAAAGAAGACTACACTGACAAAGAAGTACTTATTCTTGGAGGTGGTGATGGGGGAATATTGTATGAAATAGTCAAACTGAAACCAAAGATGGTCACCATGGTAGAGATATCCTTTTATTAAATAACGATGACCCATTTTTAAAAACTGTATCATATTTTCTGTCTTTGCGTCTTGAAATGTCAAAGTAACTGGTTGATTTATCATGGTTTCTGCTGCCGTCACTGAAGTAGCTTAAATTCTGCATTGTGTCTTGAGTGTCTTACATTTGATTCAGGTAGCATAGTTTGGGTATAGCTTCCTTGTTATGATTACAGCTTTTTAATTTTGTTAGAGTAAAATATTTTTAAGATTTTGGTTACTGCTGCTGATCACAAAAAACTCAGTTGTTTCTCAGTAGGGCTAAGTGAACCATATTTATTATTAATGTTGATGTACTTAATTAGCATTCCATTCAGAGAGGGGCAGTCAAGTTCCATGGTTTTCAGTTGCTAAGGGCCACTTTTCAGGTTATCCGGTTGTTCAGAGGCTGTGTACTCAACAGGTTAAGGGACTAAGGGGAAAGGCTTAGTACAAAAAAATAGAAAAATAGAGAAGGTAATTAAAAATAACCAGCACATCTAAAAATAGATTATTAATAGAAGCACCAGTATTATTGTTATTAATTACCATATTTTTTGCTCCATAAGACACACTTTCCCCCCCCAAAAAGTGGGGGGAGAGTCTGTGCATCTTATGGAGCGAAGGCCACGATTTGGCCCCCACTGGCCCTGTGGGGGGAAGCGTCGCAAGGGTCCTGGAAGGCTCACTCAGACCCTTGCGACGCTCCCCCCACCCCCCCACGGGGCCAGTGCAGGCGAAATGGCCAGCTTCCAGGTGGGGGGAGTGTCGCAAGGGTTCTGGAAGGCTCACTCAGACCCTTGCGACGCTCCCCCCACCCCCCCACGGGGCCAGTGCAGGCGAAATGGCCAGCTTCCAGGTGGGGGGAGTGTCGCAAGGGTTCTGGAAGGCTCACTCAGACCCTTGCGACGCTCCCCCCACCCCCCCACGGGGCCAGTGCAGGCGAAATGGCCAGCTTCCAGGTGGGGGGAGTGTCGCAAGGGTTCTGGAAGGCTCACTCAGACCCTTGCGACGCTCCCCCCACCCCCCCACGGGGCCAGTGCAGGCGAAATGGCCAGCTTCCAGGTGGGGGGAGTGTCGCAAGGGTTCTGGAAGGCTCACTCAGACCCTTGCGACGCTCCCCCCACCCCCCCACGGGGCCAGTGCAGGCGAAATGGCCAGCTTCCAGGTGGGGGGAGTGTCGCAAGGGTTCTGGAAGGCTCCCCCCGACCCTTGCAATTCTCCCTCCCCCCCCCATGGGGTCAGCATGGGCAAAATCGCCAGCTTCCAGGGCGATTTCGCCCCCTCTGACCTCCAGGGGGGCAGGGTGAGTCTCTAAAGGGTCCTAGGGTGTGTTCCATAAGATGGACCTCTCCATAAGGCTCACCAATTTCTAGAAGAAAACAGATTAGTTTTTTCCTGTTTTTTTCTCCTAAAAATTTGGTGCGTCTTATGGAGCGAAAAATACGGTGTTTTCAGAACTTTATTTTTTATTATTTCAACATTACCTCCAAACCCGTTTAGATATAATTAAATACTAAACCTTAGTGAAACAATAATTTTAATGCATTAAAAACATTATTGATACCAATTTAGTTGAGCAAGGCCTAGATTGATTTAGTAAAGTTAGAATTTTCTGTGTACTAAGTAATCAGATTTAACATAAGATTCCCCCCTCCCCCAAGAGTCAGATTTGCACTGCAAGACTTTGGAAGACTACATACAGGCTGTAGTTCCCCCACCTCTGCCTTGGAGCCATGTGCCAGTACGTTGTACAATTGCTTGTGGAGAAAAGCACCTGCCTCTAAAAGATGAAAAGCACGGAGAGTTCAATTGTCTCCAAAGCTTGTTTTTACATTAACATATGTGGCCCCAGTAAAACTCATCTCTGTTGATTTCATGCCCTGTTCTTCAAGGTAGAATCCAAGGGCTGCTGTTTTGAAGCAGAACTAAAGAACCAATTTTTAAAACCACAGCAAAATGAATTATTTGATTCTTAACCAGTATCAAAAACATTGACCAAATGGTGATTGACGGGTGCCGGAAATACATGCGCAAAACCTGTGGAGATGTCTTGGACAATCTGAAGGGAGAATGCTATCAGGTAATTTTGTGCTTTGTGTTTGTGTTTCTTTCTTTGTGTTGTTTGAAGCAGTCTGCCTGAGTGGTACTATTTTCAAGAATACAATTCTTGTTTGAGAGAAGTATTCCTACAAGGAATTCATTTTATTTCTTTTACAGTTTGGTAAATTTTAATATTGCATCTAAATTTGTTATTGCTAGATGTCCATTGGAGATTGTTGATGCATTAGAGTAAACAATATATATTTATCAATACTGTTTATAAATATGGATATCCTTCTCTATGAGCAGGAAACTTTGGCTTTGAAAGCTGTTGAATTGTTTGTTTTAATTACCAAAATGTGAAATGTTTGTGGAAGAAGAGACAACATGCATTGAAACTGAGGTGATGGTAGGATGCACTGCTGAACTAATAATAGTATAAATACATCATTATGCATCCCTATAGCTTCTCTGTTAGTATAATTCATGGATCTTTACATTAGTAAAGTAGGGTTATCATGGGTTCATCATGAAATGGTTAAAATACAACATTTTATAGGTTTTTCAGTCAGGCATCTGAGGTAAGTTAGGCATAACTAATTTTAAAAATAACTCTGGCACAGATACATTGATTTGTTTCAAACTCATTTATAAATGTAAATGTTCTGGCTCACTATAACAGTCATGATGTGGATACCTATTTTCTTTTACCTCACTATTTCATGATGATGACGATTGCTAGCAGTGGCTTTGTTCTGTCCAGATGTTATTTTAAAAAGTAACCTATCACAGAAAATTAATTTCATTTTATCATGTTGCATTTTGCTCTCTTATTTCTGGGCCAGGGTGTGAGCAATAATGTAAGTTATAAATACCTTTCATGGGTTCATTATGGTCTCTCAGACCATCCTTTCTTCATAAGGGCTGTGTATACCCCAAAGCCTGTGTTTTGCATGCTAACTTATGTCCCTGACATTTCCGCATAGAAGTGAGGATCCCTGTCCTGAAATCCTTCAGAGCAGGTCAATAGGTTGGTTAGTGATCTTTCTTGATAGAACAGAGCTTCCTGTTTCCTTTCCAAAGAGAATGTATGAAAGTAAGATTAATTCTCTAATGTTATTTAATCTGTATAGGCATTGGAGAATTGGGATTCCCCCACCTTTGCCTAATATGTCTCTGTTGAAATGGGGACTTGCATAAAGTGAGCATGGATTGAGTTTGTGAGATCTATGTTATATAATAATGATGTGTGAGGAGTGCAGATTGGGCTTATATGGGCATTGACCTTTTTACTTCTAGGCAGATACTCAAATGTTAGGTGATTACTTTTCACGTGCTGGGGTTCTGCACACGTAGAGATTAAATAGTTGCAGAGGGCAAGTATCGGTGTAACACCTTGACTGTTTGTTTTTAAGGTTCTAATTGAAGATTGTATTCCAGTATTGAAGAGGTATGCCAAAGAAGAAAGGATGTTTGATTATGTAATTAATGACTTGACAGCTGTTCCAATCTCCACATCTCCAGAAGAAGGTTAATATTTGTCAACCTTTTGAACTTTTTGATGCAAGCATAGTTTCAATCAAAACTCATTGAACTAGCTGCAAGCAAGGTTTTAAATTAGAAACTTGCATCTGAGAGAGATTAATAAGGATTGATGGAAATAACAAAGCATGCAAGGGTCCAATAAAGACTTCAGGGATTCCAGGTGTATGTGCAGGGCAGGGGGAGAAACAATTATTGGACCTAATGTTGTATTGATACTGAAATGGATTATGCCTTTGCTTTGTAAGGTCTAAGTCTTTTAATTAACATTTATTTTCAAGATACACTGTAAATTGGTAGAAAAAATATATTAATGTCTCATCCATCAGTGATGCGTATTCCCACCAGTAATGACTTCTTTGAGCATCTTATAGTGAAGAATACTTTATAATGGCTGGATTCCTATTAGTTTTGTGGAAAGTTTGCATAACTTGCCACAGCTAATTCTGATTAATTGGCCAAGTGCTGTGGCATATCTCTGTTGTGGAATTAATTGTGTAACCAAGATACACTCCATCAGTTAGCTGCAGTGAGCTACATATTGGACATTGAATTTTTTATTAAACAATTAATGCTTTCAAATTTAGATTCCACATGGGAGTTTCTGCGGATGATTTTAGACCTTTCAATGAAAGTCTTGAAACCTGATGGAAAATACTTCACGCAGGTATGGCAGTTGCCATTCTTCTATGGCTAGTTAGTTCTACTGTTGATAGTAGTGTGATTAGTAGTACAAGGTTTGAAAGATCAACCTTGTACCAATGTTCCTTTGTTCTCATGGCGATATTGGGAGCAGCACTTAGGCTTGTGTTCCACTTTTCACAAGCAGAAGCAAACCAAATAAATCACATTTTCATTTAAATATGGGACCCTTCTAAATCCCTAAAGAAGTTCAAGTAAATACAGTGGTGCCTCGCTTAACAGGCGGCCCATTTAACGACGAAATCGCATACTGACGAACTTTTTGCGATCGCTTTTGCAATTGCATTGCAATGTTTTAAATGGGGAAAAATCGCTTTGCGATGATCGGTACCCTGTTTCGCTTACCGATTATCGCAAACCAATGATTTTCCCCCAGCTGATTGGCGGTTCCAAAATGGCCGCCGGGTTAAAAAAATGGCCGCCCGTTGTGTTTAGGGACGGATTCCTCGCTTACCGGGCAGCGAAAATGGCCACCGTATGGAGGATCTTCACTTAAAGGTCAGTTTTAAGCCCATAGGAATGCATTGAAGGGGTTTCAATGCATTCCTGTGGGCTTTTTTAAATCGCATAGTGGCGAAATCGCTTTGCAGCGATTTTTGCTGCACCGATTAACGTTGCTATGCGAGGCACCACTGTATTGTATTTCCTGGGCTTCCTCATCACTTTCTGCCCATGGAAAGATATAGATTTGGCCAGCCTATATCTTGGTTGTGAATCTTAAGTAAATCCTGAGGAGGTTAACTTGATTTGAAGCTTAGCTAAAGCTCTATTTGAGGTATTTGCCTAGAGCCGGCTCCTCCCCCCCAAATTGGAGTTATTTATTTATTTATTTATTTATTTATTTATTTATTTATTTATTTATTTATTTATTTATTTATTTCAGGGGTAAAGGGAAATAACCCGGGATAACAGGGACTATTTCATGCTATACATTATCACATATTATCCGTACTTAAACATATCATTACATTAAAGACTTTTGTGTCTGTTAGTTGCCTATATAATTCCAACTACAGTTATTTGACTATTTTGTATTAAAATTATCACATTTGGCTTTCAGGTTATATAATGGGTCCAGTTGTATATAGGGTCCCATTTTTCAGATGCTTCTTGGATTTAATTGTCTTTCAAAGCTTCTCTTAATATGTCCATCTCTGCCACTTCCATAATCTTTTCCACAAGTTCTTCACGATTTGGTATCTCGGTTTTCTTCCATTTCCATGCATATAGTATTCTGGCTGCAGTTATTACATGTATTACCAAATGGCTCTCTGTGCTATCTAAACTCTCTGGTAACATATTTAATAAGACTAATTCTGGTTTAAATAGTATATTACGTAGCAGAATTTTCTGTAAACATTCATGTATTAGTATCCAATAATTCTTTTGCTTCTTTACATATCCACCACATATGATACAAGGTTCTCTCTTGTAATTTACATTTCCAACATACATTGGATGTACATTTATACAATTTTGACAACTTATCTGGTGTCATGGACCACCTGTAGAACATTTTGTATATATTTTCTTTAAAGTTCACTGATTTGGTAATTTTTATATTAATGTTCCATATTTTTCCCAGTCTCTTGTGGTACAGATCCATATTCCAAATTAGATTGTTGTTGGTTAGAGACTGTTGAAGGTATTTTCAGTCCTTGGATATTATTTAATTGTACCATTGCATTTTAAAAATAGGCTAGTGGAATAGTGTATGAAGGTTAGTGGTATGCAATATAATGTTTGACCACTAGGTAGAGCTGGATGATTAAAATTGTCAGTATTCATAATAAAAATTCTAGGGCCAGCATCCTATTAGGTTTTCGTTGTGTGAAAAGGCCCACCATCACATGAATGTGGCATTGTGCCATTTGCATAAATGTTGCTGTTTTGGAAATGATAATCACCCCACCATGAAGAAAATCTGTACTTTATTTATTTATTAGAGTCATGTGTTGCCCATCTAGAAAGTGTCTACTCTGGGTGGTTTATTTATTTTTATTTTTTATTTATTAGATTTTTACCCCACCCCTCTAGACAATGTCTACTTTTTATATATAGCATAAAAATAAACTAAGGTAAAATCCAAGTTAATCTCAGTGTCCAAGATGGGGAAAGGAAGAGAAAAAGAAGAAGAAAAGAAAAAAGAGAAAAGAAAAGGGAATATAGGCTAGGTAATAGCTGTAGGGAAGGCATCCCCATATAGCCATGTATGCAGACTGTGATCCCATATACCCCCTACATTGTTACACTATTCTATCCAGCAAAAGCTCAAGACAACCCTGGCCCTAAACATTGGATTATGTAAACACATACATGCATGTACACTGACAGATGCACATAGTTGGAATCAGGGAAGTGAGATAGAAGCTACATATAAAGTGGCATTTTTGTGAATTTGCATACTGTATATGGTTGATGTACTGACAGTATACATATAATTCTGTTCCTCTTGCCCTTAAGGAAACACTCATTAGACCCATTAGGAAGAAACCGAGCTTTGTGGCAGACAACATTAGCAATTATAGGATCATCACCAATGTTTCTTTCCTTAGCAAGGTAGTTGAGAGGGTGGTGGCCGACCAGCTTCAGATTCTCTTGGGTAAATCCAATGCCCTGGATCCGTTTCAGTCGGGCTTCAAGTCACAACACAGAAATGGCATTGGTCTCCCTCTTGGATGACCTACTTAGGGAGGCCGATAGGGGCAAAATGTCCTTGCTAGTACTCCTTGATATCTCTGCTGCCTTTGATACTGTCAACCATGGTATCCTCCTGGAGAAGCTCTCCAAGTTGGAGATTGGTGGCCTTGCTCTTGCTTGGCTCCAGTCCCCATGTGGCCTTGCTCTTGCTTGGTTCCAGTCCCCAAGAGAGTTCAGCTTGGGAAGAATGTATCGGCCCTGTGGTCCCTCAGTTGTGGGGTCCCACAGCATCTCCCCAATGCTGTTTAACATATATGAGGCTTGGGGGGGGGCATCCGCGGATGTGGAGCTTCGTCACGAATGTGCAGATGAACACCCAGCTCTACATCTCCTTTTTTCCATCTGCAGTGGATGTCGTTCCGTCCCTTGGGCGCTGCCCTGCAGGCTGTTCTGCAATGGATGCAGTCCAATGGGCTAAGGTTGAACCTGGACAAGACGGAGGTCCTGCGGGTGGGGGGCCCTGATGTCAGTGGTTTGGGGAACTCCCTCTCTTTTGGGGGGTGACTCTCACTACAAAGAATTCAGTTGTCAGTCTGGGGGTCCATCTTGACCCGGCGCTTACCATGGAGACCCAGGTAGCATCCATGGTTCTGTCTGCCCACTTACATCTTCGGTGGATCGCCCAGCTGCATCCCTATCTAGACGCAGGGGTGCTCACCATACTGGTTCATGTGCCCCGTAGTCTCAAGAATAGACTACTGTAGCACTCTCTATGTGGGGCTTCTTTTGAGATTGATGCAGAAGCTCCAGATGGTCCAGAACACGGCGGCCAGGCTACTAACAGGTGTGAAAAGATGTCACCATATTCACCCACCTTGGCCGCCTTACACTGGCTAGCTATCCGCTCCCGCATCGATTTCAAGGTGCTATTATATACAAAGCCCTTAACAGTTTAGGCCCTCAATACCTGGCAGAGTGCCTTCTTCCACCCAGTTCTACCTGTATTACCCGTTTCAGTCAGGCCAGGCTGCTGAGGGGTCTAATGACAAGAGAGGCCTGGTGGGGAAAAAACTAGAAATCTGGCCTTCTCAGCAGTGGCCCCTCGCCTCTGGAACAACTTACCTGTTGAGATCTGTCTGTCTCCCTCGCTGAGGGCCTTCAAGACTAACTTGAAGACATAGCTATACAAACAGGCCTTCCCTACAACCATCATTTAGCCTACCTTCCGTTTCCTTTTTTCTCCTTTTCTTCTCTTCTTTTTTCCTTTTCCCATCTTGGACTTTGTGCTTAATTTGGATTTTACTTCAGTTTATTTTTATGTTATATGTAAACTGCCCAGAGTAGACATGTTCTAGATGGGCGGTATCCAAACCAAACCAAACCAAACCAAACCAAACCAAACCAAACCAAACCAAACCAAACCAAACCAAACCAAACCAAACCAAACCAAACCAAACCAAACCAAACCAAACCAAACCAAACCAAACCAAACCAAACCAACCAACCAACCAACCAACCAACCAACCAACCAACCAACCAACCAACCAACCAACCAACCAACCAACCAACCAATCAATCAATCAATCAATCAATCAATCAATCAATCAATAAATCTATTGTTAAGGGTTTAAAGGATTAATTATTTGCAAATCAGAGAAAATTGATTTTAGTTATTTGCCAACTCTTGTATTTAGGTTTTGATTAAAGCAATCTGTTATTTATAAGTGTAAGAATTTGGAATGAAGTGGCTGAAATATTTGGAAAAGATGTATGGCTTGAGTTATACATGATCTCTGAACTAAGTGGGAATTCCCTTCCTTTGCTGGAAACAACACCCACCTCTTAGCACTTCTAATTCTTGGTCATATGTCTGTAATCCATGATATGACTCAGCACTTCTCACCTTTTTGAACCCCTTCTTGTGATTAAACTGTCCTGATTAAATTGCACATAGTTATTGACTGGGCTTTTCCCTTGGTTCTTCATCTTCTGTAGCACAGACTTCTAGTCTGAACTCACAGCAGCAAAACACACAGCAATTTTTTAAATTTTTTATTTTTGGTCGTTATGAAATCTTTTCCTCAGTTGAAGCACTCTTTCGTCCCAGCAACAGCATTCTGCCTTTCCTGATACTGCTTCCTCAGCAGTAATCATGTTCACTGTAACAGCTTAGCAGAAGGCAACACTCAGTGTTTGCTTCTTTATATAGAACAGGGTAGGAATAGCTGGATAGCTCAGCAGTTTAGGTATCTGGCCATGGAGTCAGAGATTGAGAGCCTGATTCCCTACTATCCCTCCTTGACAGGGCTGGACTCAGTGATCCATAGTGTCCCACCAAGCATTGCAGTTCTAAAGTTGTTATTGTTGTAAAACCTTGGTCCAACTAATGTTTTTAGACCACTTCCTAAAAGCCCCACACAGCCTGGCCAGGTTGATGAATTTATGTGAATTTATTTTATTTGTTTCATTTCTATGCTGCCTTTCTCTTGGTGAAGGAATCAAGACAGCTCACGGTTATTAAAACATTACAGAATCAAAACAAACAAACAACAATTCAAACATATAATAGGGATTGAAAGATTATCTAAATACATTGGTGCCTCGCTTAGCGATCGAAATCGCTTAGCGATGGGGTTTTGGCCATCACAAGATGGTCCCTATGGGGAAAAATCGCTTTGCGTTGATCGCGGGGAAGCGATCATGGCAAAGCGACCCTTTTTAAACAACTGATCAGCAGTTTCAAAATGGCCGCCGGAAAAACAAAATGGCCGCCCACTGTGTGTCCTTGCTTTAGAGGCACCGAAAATGGCCGCCCCTATGGAGGATCTTCGCATAAGGTTAGTTTTGAAGCTCATAGGAACGCATTAAACGCGTTTAATGTGTTTCTGTGGGCTTTTAAAAATCGCTTGGTGATTAAATCGCTTAGCAACGTTTTTCCTGGAACGGATTAACGTCGCTAAGCGAGGCACCACTGTATTTTAAATCTTTAAAACACACTTTAAAATACCTTATGTCCAAGAGGGATTAATTTTAGTCATTAAAAACTTGCATAAAGAGACAGGTCTTTAATTGTCTCCAGAATGGAGAAAGGGGGTGGGGCAATTAACTTTCTGTGAGAAATCATTCCATAATGTGGGAGCAGCTACAGAGAAGGGCCATTCAGGTCTTATCAAAGAGACCTGTGATGCCAGTGGGACTGAGAGAAGGGCCTCCTCTGAAAATCTTAGGAGCCAGAAAGGCTTATTTGGGGCATTATGGTCCTTCAAACAGCTTGGACCCAAATCATGATGGGTATTATAGTCCTAACCAGCACTCTGAATTTGGCCCGGAAAAGGACTATTAGCCAGTGTAACTGTTGTAGCAGGGGATTTATATGCTCCCTATAACTGGTCTTGGTTACCACTCTGGTTGCTACCTTTTGAACATTTTTGAACCATCTTCAAAGGCAGCCCCGTGTAGAGTGTGTTAGTAGTCCAAGTGAGATGTAACGAAGGTATGTATATCACTGTAACTAAATCAGACATTTCAAGGAACAGGTGCAGTTGGCACACTAGTTTTAATTGTGTAAAGGCAGTTACCACTGACACTTGGGCATATAGTCTCAGGGATGTAATGCAAAACATCTGGAAGGCCAAAGGTTTTCCACACTATCTGTAACAATTAGAAATTCCATTTAATTAAGCATTTAATTCTGCATATAATACTTCTAAAGATTTAGTAGTATGTATACAATAAATACAGTACATTTGTTGCATCCTGTAAGCAAAATGCCATTGAGACTAATCTGTTAAACCACCGACTATAATTAATCAATGTTTTTCTATCTCAGTATGTAGAATCTGGGTAATGTTTTAGTGGACTTCTAAAACTTACGTATGGCACTTTTGTTGGACTTGCTTAAAAAAAAGCATCCTCATGTAAATTTTATAAACTGGAATATAAGTCTTTTTTCTGATGTCATCAGTCAGAAAAGTTACTGGGTTGATTAATGCAGATGTTGCATGCCATTTCTTAATAGTTTTTGTTGTCAAAACTCACAATTTACTTGCCACTGTCTGTCCTACAATTATTTCTCATTTATGAAAATTGTGATGAGAGCTAGGATCCCAAAGATGACAGTCGAGAAAGCTAGACTGCAGATTACCTTCATTATATAGATTTGGTCATGTCATTAAACTACTTTTGATACTGGCAGGATGTCCCATAAATTACCTAGTGCTGTTTTCTATTTGTGATCTTTAAATTACACACATTTATGTACTGTCCCATTCAATTTGATGCTGACAAAATTATATGCCTTGTAGAAGGCAGCAGAACCAAATAACCCTACAAGATTGTGGATAATAATAGATTACGAAACAAGTTTTATATACTCAACTTTCTTACAGTAATTTTCCCTTGCCATTTCATGATGGCTCTGATATGCTTAACATTAATTTCATTTCTGAAAAATGTAATTCTCCCCTCCACACCATTATTTATTTTCATTTTAACATTAACAAAAGCGTGAAATAATGGCTGACATTCTGTTGTGCCCTTACACAGAAGGCGTAATGTTTACTGTCATTTAAAAAGTCTCCATGCATATTGCTTGTTAACGTGCTCAGTCACATAATTCAGTGTGCAACAGATAAAGTTTATGGAGATTTTTTAACTTCCAGCAATTCACCTCTAAAAGTTATAACCTGCATATTACACAACAGGATTTCAGCCAATATATTTTTAAATGAGTGGTAGAAAATTAATAGCAACAGACAACATACGAATTTTTTTCGACTTGATTAGCTGCCATCCATCTTCCACGCATTGTTTTAATTTCTGTATTCCCTATATGAATGTGTTGCATTCACTGTTCATATAATATTTTGTATTACGTTTGTTTATGGTCCTACCCTGGAATCCTTTTGTGTATTTAGATTATATTTCCATTCTCCCCCTCCAATGCTTTTCACTTATTTGTAGGGAATTGGGTTAAAATTAATAGTACATATTTTGTGAAGTATCCAGAAGTACACGTCTAATGGCAGATTCTAGCAGAAGCAAGAGGAGAGCAATCTTCATTGTAGCCTACCATAAGCTCCTGAAAGTGGTTCAGGGAAGCCTTCTGCAACTGGGCTTCTGGCACCAATGGAAAGCTGCAGTTGGGATTCATTAAGCCTGAAGGTTCCATGAGACTCTTCGTTGCTTTGCTAACGGCACGCTTAACACGGCTGCTCCCCTAAAGTACCATTATTGTGCCTATGACTATTCATTCTATCTTCTTGGCGTGTTCCGTTTCTTGACAGCTGTGAGATATTTAATTTTGATGTTAAATACCGTATTTTTTGCACCATAAGACGCACTTTTCCCCCTCCAAAATGTGGGTGGGGAAGTCAGTGCGTCTAATGGTGTGAAACAGACTATTTTTTCCTGTTGTCTTCTCCTAAAAATTTGGTGCGTCTTTTGACAGCTGTGAGATATTTAAGCGAAAAATACGGTAAATTGGAACTTAGATGAGCTGGGAGTAAACATGCTTAGAATTACATCACAAAATCCTCTCTGCCTTAAATTTTGAATTTTTTTTTAGTTTGTGAATTATGACATTTGTCTCAAAGTGTTCACATACTTTCTTAATAGCTGTTGTAAACATGTTTTCAGGATTCTAACAACTTGCTTCACAGATAGGAACTTCTATCCATTTTGATGGATGTGTCCCATCGCGTGCCCCCACCCCGTAATTGATACATGTGTTACATTTTCTCCTAATATCTTGCAGGGAAATTGTGTCAATCTGACTGAAGCCTTGACTCTGTACGAAGAACAACTTGGCAGGCTTTACTGTCCTGTGGAATTCTCAAAGGAAGTTGTATGTGTCCCTTCATATATGGAACTGTATCCTTAATTAAGAAATCATGTCACTTAATAAGCAGACATCGCTTAAGCCAATGAAATCAATAGTGAGTATGAAAAAAAGGGATTCAGCTGCTCTTACTCTTAATTCTAAAACATTGCAGAATTGATACTAGCTTTAGAAATTGTGAGCCATTATGTTGCTTTTACTAATTGCCTATTTTCCATTTTAGTAGCATAATCTTTAATGGCAACGTATAAATTACTTAGGCAGGTAGTTTAAACAAAATAGTAAGCATCCTAATGAAACATCAGGAAATTCTCCACCAATTTTCCATGAAGAAATAATAAACACCTTTGAAAAGTTTTTGCAACTTCCAATTTGAGAATTGCAGTTAAAAGAAAAAGAAAATGATGTAGGCGACTTGGAAAGGATTAGTAAAAAATTATATATTTGTGTTGAGAAAGGCATGCAGTTTTGTTTTGAAATGTGTTTTCTTCCTGGTGTTTGGAAATGTAACTGCAATAATGTGCAAAATATTTATTGGATTCCTTAACAGTTTTCTTAGATGGGTATTTTATACTATTTGGAAGAAGTCTGAGGTTTGAAGCTCATGGTCCACTGGCCACACATGCCACATGAAGCGTGCAAGCTTGCCACATGTTTTGTCTTGGCATCTTGAATCTTTAAATTATATGCTGTAGATGATCCTGAAACATAGTCATGCAATTGATTTGTGAATTCTTTAAAATGTTTTTTTAATTATTATTTTAATTTAAAAGCAAATGGAAAATGTATATTTTGATGAGCTATGGTATTTTTTTTGAACGTCAACTTAGATTACTTAGCAGCGAGGCTATAGCTGCTGAATGCACTGAACCTTTAAAATGTGATCATTTTTATTTTTATTTAGATTTTTGAATGCCAGTTTTAAAAGATAAATTTAGCATGTAAGTGTGGTCCTATTATTATTTTTCTTTCTTTGGACATTATAGTTTTTTTCTTTCCTTTGGACAGTGCTCCATTAAGTAGTTGTGGTGCTTTAAAAAGATAGGTGGTTCTTTTTTAATGATCAATGTGCTTCCATTAGAGAAAATAAGGGCAGACTTTTTCAAAAGTTGTCCTCTAGTCTAGCCCATGATAATGTCAAACAGTTACTGTGACATACAGTTACAGTTACATACTTCCATGTCATTTTATGAATTTTTATTCTAATCTCATATGTTGAGATCAGGTGTTTAATTTTCAGTAATACCTTGCAAACTGCCTGCAGCCTTTCAGCCCTGTTTTGTCCCCCCCCCCCCGATACTTGTTGCTCTAGAACTGGTGGCCACCGCCATGCTGGCAGAACTACAACAGCTTCCTTCTTTCTCTTCTCTTTCTGTCTCTTACAGAGGAAATGTAGATAGATGCCCTGCCATGTCTTACAGGAGACGCTGGTGCAGGAAGATGCTCTAGACCAGTGGTTCTTAACCTTTGTTACTCAGATGCTTTTGAACTGCAACTCCCAGAAACCCCAGTCAGCACAGTTGGTGGTGAAGGCTTCTGGGAGTTGCAGTCCAAAAACACCTGAGTAACCCAAGGTTAAGAACCAGTGCTCTAGACCTTCTCTACCATAGAGCACTGCTATACTGCCTGCTAAATTTTGGTGACAGCTGGGTTAATAGCTGCTAAATTGCAGTAGTGGCAAGCATGGTAGCAATTGGAGGTTTCTAGTAGAGACCAAGATGACTCCCTGACCCCCACATGTTCCTCATACCTGTGATAGTTAAACAGCTAAGCTCAACTGTGTTTAGAATAAAAGTTCATCACAATCAAATGATGGAGAGGTCACTATGTCACATTGGTATTGGCATACATTGGGCATAGACACTGGTTATCAAGGGAGAGAGCTAATAGAGATTTTGTTCATCCCCTGTATTTTTACTCTACGGACCAGGGCTGGAGAATTTATGGCCCTCCAGATGTTGGTCTGCTGCTCCCGTCACCTTGGCGATACTGCCTAGGACTGAAGACTGCTGGAGTCAGGTAGCATGTGGAGGGTTGTAGTTCTCTTCCCATGGACTTTTCAACAGAGAAGGTGAAAGAGTCTCATCATGTTCCCATCTGCAATCAATTTACAGACTCATACATGCTTAGCACAATGTCATTCATCAGATCAGCTCATCCCTCTTATATTTATTTTTAATTAGGAAGGAGTGTTACATTAAACCAATACTATCAGCACTATAAACTTCAAAACTCTGGACTTTGCTCTCAACAAACCTGTGAGTTTATTATGAGACACTGCAATGTAATTCTTCCTGATGGTTATATATTTCTTCAGCTTTCGTGCCACTGTTCCTAGAGCATGAAGTGTTACTGAAAAGGGAAAATTAGAAAAGTTGCCTAGGCTGCAGTGTGCTACAAACTTCTCCATACTCATCCATATGAGGGAAGTTGAGTTCAAGAACAGAGGACACATCCCATTCATTTCAGTGGGTCCCGTACAGGGAAAATTTATGATAGATTATGCCGCTAAGAATATTGTGCATCTTGTATTTATATTTTGTGCATGTCTGTAAGGAGGTGTTTATTACACTCAGCTCATTCCAGCCAAATGGATATGACTGACCCTAAAGCATCACTCGCTCATAAACTGTAGTTGCATATGCATGTGAAAATATCTCTTAGAGTATTGTTTTTGTACTCCCCCCCCTTTGCTTCTGCACTTGGTGTGAAATTCTATTTTTGTAAAATCTTTCTGTGTATTGATCATAACTTTGCTGTAAGCAAATCTTTAAAATAGCTCAGAAGTGCATCTTTATTGTATAGTTTGTGGAGAGAGAGAATTAAACTACCATCTTTTTCTTGCCAGTTTAAGATCCTTCAATACTACTTCTCCCCCTACGTTCCAGGGTCCGCTGCATAGTGCAGCCACCCACTCACCCTAAAAACCAGCTCTCAATGGCTGGGAGACTTCTGGACTTGGTTTTCAGGTGATACTGGGGGCTGAGGGGGTGGGCAGAGAAAAAAAATGCTCTGTGTGCCAGTACAACATTGGATTTAGGCTGCTATTATAGTGCGAGTCTGTTCCCTTTCTCCCCGCTCCTTTACTGAGAACACTTCAGAACTAAGGATGATACTTTCATGGGTTTTTTGGAGTTCAACTCCCAGAATTGGCCAAGAATTCCCCAGGCAGAATTCTGGTAGGTGCTGCCCAGAAACGCAAGTCTACAGATCAGCTGCATTTACTTCCATCAGTACCTTATGTGGCCTGTTTCTGCTTCCAGAAAACAAGGAAGCTGCTCTGATGCTTTCTGGGAGTCTTGTGTCTTTCTGCTTCCTTTTTTGGAATTTTTCAACAGGAAATAGGGTGAAGCTAGGTCACGTAGCCTCCAAGACAAGGTCATGCTCCAGGTGAAGAAAATGTTATCTTTAGATGTGGGTCTATGGCCTGGAACTCTCAGAATTCTGCCTGTGGAATTATTAGAGAATTCCGGGAGTTAGAATCCAAAAAATCCAAAAGACACATCTTACCAAAAACATTTTGCATATGTTCCCATTCATTCAGTTCAGTTGTTTTTGTGCTTATTGAAAATGAACCATTATATATTGAAATATACTTAGGTTGAGATCTTGATTGTATACGGGACTCACAGCTACAGCAGAAGGAGGCACACTGCACCCACCCACATTGATCCATTCCTCCCTAATTCAGATAAAATATTTCAAATATTTCCGTGGAATTGTAGGAGCATTTATGTCTTCTGTCCTTTCCCCCACACACACTACAAAAAGCACATAACTTTGCCTCGTTTATGATGAGTTACAAATAGTTTGTAAAACATTTTGTATCTCTTCTGTTTATAAACTAATAATATGAATATTAGTAGGGTTTTGGAGGCTTCAAAACATTCCCTAGCAAAAGTTATATAGAGGTATCCTGTTTCCAGCACCACAGGCAACGTATGTCCATTGCCACTGGCAACCATTGCTAGTGCATCCTCCCATAAATTTGGCCAATGCATTTTACAAAATTAAGTCAACTTTTTCTGAGAATGAGGGAGTGAGACCTCTTCACAGGAATGTTGGGAAGGGGACTAGCATGTGTTGGCCTGACACTGTTTTGAATTTTTCCACGTCCTTCAGAATATACTTATATACTCTAGATTTGGGGAACACACAGCAGGTCATGGAAAGCTGATGGGAGCATTAAAAGCTGCCCTGTGCTGATTGGCAGTGGCTCTCCGGACTTGCAGATACCTGTTCTCTAGAGATCCCATTGATTGAAGTGGGCATACAACTTAATAGGCTCTCTTACCACACACCTGCATTGTTGCTGCATTGTATTGTTGAGTAACTTCCAACTTGCAGTGACCCTATGAATTGTGTAAATCCGAATTAGTGACTTCACAAAATGAACAGCATTGCTGAAGCGCAAACCCAAGGCTGTAGTTCTCTTATTGAGTCAATCCATCTCATATTTGGTCTTCCTCTGTCCTTACTGTCTTATTTCCTAGCATTACGGTGTTTTTTCCCAGTGAGTCTTATCATAGTATGTCCAAAGTGTAATCTCAGTTTAGGCATTTGAGCTTCTAGTGAGAGTTCAGGGTTGATTTGACCTAGAAAAGTTATTTTTCATTTTGGAGGTCATAGCATTTGTAAAACTTCACTAACTCCACGTTTCGAAG